AACATTTTAAAAAATCTATATATATATATATATATCATCTATTTTAATAAGAGTACACTTTAATGGCAGCCAACAGAATGTCGGGATTTTTCTTTTATTTCCGACACCAAAATCCCAGGCCTAAAGCACACAAACCCCTGAACCAATAAAGTGTTCTGAAATGAGCTGAACTCAATTAATTCTGTTTGTCTCTTGGGTGGCAGCTCTCATTTTCTGACATCAGTGTCATCCCCAAAAGGAAGATGAAAACGCTCAAAGGAAGAAAAGACACTATGTTAATCAGGTCATTCGCGTGATCTACTTACCTTGGGACAGTCTTCTCCTGCGTAACCAGCTCTAACAGAATAAGAGCCGATGTCGAACACCAACGCTCCCACCTCATCTACAAAAACAACACAAAAGTGTGATTTTGACCTAATCTGTGACTTAAAAAGATACATGAATGTTGAATCCACTGCTTTAGCAAACAATAGTGGAACTAATGTTAAGTCCATTTGACATTGTTGATAATTTTAGTTAAACACACAGTTAGTTTTGCAATACATTTCTAAAATTTAGCATAAAATCGAGACAAAAACTTTTTTAATGCTACACATAACAAGTCACACACTCTAAATATATAAATCACTTTTTTATTTGCTWTTAGTTTCATTATGTGATTAACTGAAATGGGCTTTTCAGTGGTTGATGATAAATTAAAATAAGGTGGCCAGAGACTAATTTTCCATGTATCATACAGCATCGAAGAAACAACGCCAAATGCATTTCATATTAAATTGTTTAACACTTTGTGTTTGTCTCCGTATTAAATAACAGTTGCCTCAGCTTGGTCAGTGTCAGACACATCAATAAGTCAAATCTTATTTCTTCTATTTTGCATATTTCCCACCTGACAGACACTATGTCCACTTAGTCACCACGTAAACAAATAGTTTAAWAAGGCTTAACTGTCTTAATTTCTAGTCAAAAATGAGATCATAGGAAACTTGGCTATTAACATGTACTAGTATGGCACACTGTGCTTTTTTATTATATATATATATATATATATATATATATAGATAGATAGATAGATAGATATGCAAGTCCACTTTCATTCATTTCCAGCTACCGCTTTTCGTAACGTTACTGCAAAATAAATAAGTGACGCCACAATACTACGGACTAACACTGATAACATATCGCTGGTATTTACAAACTTGTGACGACTGAAATGCGAGGATGACCTGTCTACGTTTAATCGTAAAGCGTTAGCATAGCTAGCATATKTAGCGAATTAACAAAGCTGGTAAAGCTACGGAGGCGTCAACGTGGTCTATAGTTTACTTTTATCTATATCAAAAAGGTCTCACTCACCGCCTCCATACACTCCACCACTCATTCTGGAAGTATTAGGAGYACTTTCCCCCAAAATAAGTTATTTGAGTAAATACACAACCGCTAAATGCCAGATCACAACAAAAGAAAATTGCTAATGCTAACGCGAGTCTATCTAACTTAAGGCAGGCACCATTGAGCGTCGGGTGTGTTGTCCAATCAGAATTCAGTACAGCAAGAGTACTTCCGTTCCGTGACAACAAYTACTTCCTCCTTCTGAGTGGTCGTGGCCTTGCTGAAGTCATACCTGTGTGAGTTAAAACAACGATTTTAACTTACTATATAGTTCACCGTGCATTATAAACTCATGTGCAGTCGTTGTGAGTGCAAGTTTTACCTCAGCGCGGTGGCATTAAAATGTGTGAGATGTTAAATCTTGCGTGTCGTTCGTTAATCGTAAACAGGCTTGAGCTCAGCTAACAACCACATGACGTGGTACAAAATTAGCAAYAGTCCCCACTCATGTTAGTTTTAAAAAAAGCAAGCTAACACAAGAATAGTTCGATTTGCAATTTCAAAAGTAAATTTATGTGCAAAGTGTGCAAAGTTGACTAATTGCGCAAGCGCACATGGTGACTACCATGATTGAAACAAGTGTTATTTGAAAGCCAGGTGTAGGTTCATAATCTGACTTTTATGACGAACACATACATTGACAAAAATGTGATTATAGTTGTAAGCGTATAAAATTGTGACACGTTTTTATGAGATTGTATCTGWTGCTGTTAGTTGCTTTAAAATAGAAATGTTGATTTCTTAGTGTAGGCACCAAGAAACTTGTGTTGCCATACAACCAAAGTGATATCATCAGAAGTTTGATCTTCATTATTTAAATTACCAATGCAGATTAATTGACAGGAGCTGGAGCCAGGCGATATTTTGTGTTTTTACTACATAACATTTAACTGTATAATTTAGTTGTTCTTTAATGATCTTTTTTATAGATATATAAATGGTTGAAGTTTTATTTATTTATTTATTTGCAAACCTGAATTTTTTGTAGAGACTGCTCGTTCTTGTTTCTGARTGCTGACTAACGTGTTCAATTAATTTTTAACTTTGCTTCCAGCACCCATGCAGCGCTGCCTGACTCTGACCCTTGCTCGGCACAGCAGACTCCTTTTGAAAGATAAATTTGCAAGTGCGTACTGCCAGCGGTCAGCTGCCATGTCAAGTCTTCTTATCAATCAGCCCAAATACTCCTGGCTGAAAGAGCTGGGTTTGTCCGAGGACAACCCTGGTGTTTACAACGGAAGCTGGGGAGGCAGTGGGGAGGTCGTCACRTCTCACTGCCCCGCCAACAATGAGCCAATTGCCAGAGTTACTCAGGCTACTTTGGCAGAGTATGAAGAAACCGTCCAGAAAACGAGGGAGGCCTGGAAGGTGTGGGCAGATATTCCAGCGCCGAAACGAGGGGAAATTGTAAGGCAGATAGGGGACGCACTAAGGAAGAAGATTAAAGCGCTTGGAAGTCTGGTCTCTCTTGAAATGGGCAAGATCTACGTTGAGGGAGTGGGCGAAGTTCAGGAGTATGTTGATGTCTGTGATTATGCTGTTGGACTATCTAGGATGATTGGCGGACCTATTCTTCCTTCAGAAAGGCCAGGGCATGCGCTCCTCGAGCAGTGGAACCCGGTCGGTCTCGTCGGCATCATCACTGCCTTTAACTTCCCCGTGGCCGTCTACGGTTGGAACAACGCCATCGCTTTGACATGTGGCAACGTCTGCCTCTGGAAAGGTGCCCCGACCACTCCTCTCACAAGCGTTGCAGTTACCAGGATTGTGGCAGAAGTGCTGGAGCAGAACAACCTGCCGGGCGCCATCTGCTCCATGACCTGCGGCGGCGCCGACATCGGCACCGCGATGGCAAAGGACGAGCGGGTGGATCTGCTGTCTTTCACCGGCAGCACCCACGTTGGTAAGCTCGTGGCCATGATGGTGCAGGAGAGGTTTGGACGCAAGCTGCTGGAGCTCGGCGGAAACAACGCCATCATCGTGTTTGAGGACGCGGACCTGAACCTCGTGGTGCCCTCGGCCGTCTTTGCCTCTGTGGGAACTGCTGGTCAACGYTGCACCACGACTAGGAGGCTGATGCTGCACGAGAGCGTCCACGACATGGTGGTTGAGAGAATAGCCAAGGCCTACAAACAAATTCGCATCGGCGATCCCTGGGACCCCAGCACCCTCTACGGTCCTCTGCACACCAAACAAGCCGTGGCGCAGTATCTGGCTGCTGTCGAACAGGCCAAGCAGCAGGGCGGCACTGTGGTCTGTGGAGGAAAGGTGATGGATCGTCCTGGAAACTACGTGGAACCCACCATCATCACAGGACTGGCTCACGACGCACCCATCGTCCATACCGAAACCTTCGTCCCCATCCTCTACGTCCTCAAGTTCAAAACAGAGGAGGAGGCCTTTGCTTGGAACAACGAGGTCAAGCAGGGTCTATCTAGCAGCATCTTCACCAAAGATATGGGGAGAGTTTTCCGTTGGCTGGGGCCCAAAGGATCTGACTGTGGTATCGTGAATGTCAACATTCCTACRAGTGGAGCAGAAATCGGAGGAGCCTTTGGGGGGGAAAAACACACGGGCGGTGGCAGAGAGTCAGGCAGCGACTCCTGGAAGCAGTACATGAGGCGCTCGACGTGCACAATAAACTACAGTAAAGATCTTCCTCTGGCCCAAGGCATTAAGTTTGAGTGAAGCTTTCAGATCCTTCGAGTTCGAGCACCAATGTTCACAAAGGGCAACACTAAATATTTTTAGTCATTGCGTTGTAGAATATAAGGAAAAGATTTGTCATCTTGTGTTAAAATAGGTCAGTTCAAATTAATAGTTTGAAATTTCTGCTGTATTGAGTCATGATTCTGGATTTAAACCCGTTAATGTTTTGTCCTAAAGGTCAAATCTTGGTCCCACAAAATTTCTGTTCACTTTTCTACAAGCGCTTAAAATTACTCTTGCTGACTGCATCTGATATTTTATACTGTAATAAATGAATAAATCCCACCTATACTGTATTTTGAAAAATACAACTGTGATTGACAATATTTCCTGGACTGCCTGTAAGTTTTTACGGTAGTATGTGAAACACTGGCTGTAGCCTGGTTATAATTTGCTTTAAAACATTCAACAAAAACTAGTAAAAAATAAAGGCTTTGTGCTGACATGGGCTTTCAGTCTTTTATTTTTGAATATTCACAAATAAAGTATGGGATTAGCATGGCCAGTCCTAACATATCAAGTAAAATGTCAGAGTTTGGGAGCGGCGGCACGGTTTAGAGAAAGCAAGTCCAGTTGTCAGAAGGTTGGCAGTTCAAATCCTGTGTTTTATCAAAATTTGAGTGGAAGAGCTGAAGCATCCATGTCTAACTCATTTGCCCTATATGGGCGCTTGAGCAAAGTTTTTAATCCCCAGGTTGTGCTAGGTGGCAACTGGGGGATACCAATTGTCAAAAACTTTATGCAAGTTCACTGGATGGGAACAGCCAAAAAACGAGAAAAAAATTTGAAATCACTGATTCATTAATAAAATCACATTGGATTTTTAAGTTGAACGTGTAACGTTCAGTAACGTGACTTTAAAAAACTGGCAATTTAAGACAACTTGTTTTGAAATACAAAAAAACCTGAAAATTGCTCAAATGAACATGGTATTAAATTATAGTTTGGCTTATTTTTTTGAGCACTGCTGTTATTTGGTCTTGGTCTTTTTCAATCCTGGTCCTCAGGACACACTGTCTTGCATGCGGTCTCCCTGCTTTAACACACCTGATTTAGATGATTGCAGTTCAGCAAAAGCCTGTTAATCAGTTATCAATTGAAATCAGCTGTGTTGAAGCGGGAAAACATCTAAAACATGCAGGACAGTGTGCCTTGAAGACCATGGTCGAAAAACACTGGTCTACAAAATAATGCCAAATGAGAATGTTCCTACACATAATAAAATTGTGTTACCAGATACTACAAGCACCTATTGTACCATGAGTTTGTTAGCTGTAGATGGTAGCAGCCAAAAGACAAAAACAAACAAAAAAATAAATAAAAATCAGAAATTACAGATTCATGCAGACATAATTTTAAATCGTATTATTAATTGTTTATGTCTCAAAATTTCAGTGATGTGACTTTTAAAGGGATCCCCGATTGGTTGTAACATTAGACTTTATATGATAAACATACTTTAACTGTAAAATAAAGACTGTAAAAATACTGTAGGAAGTTTAGTTTTTATCAGTTTTAAACTAAAAGTTTAAAAATATATTACACAGACGGGGCCATTTTATTTACACGCAAAGCATTCTGGGTAAATGACATCAACTAGGTCATCGGCACGAGGCTGCTAGCAAGCTATACCCACCCTGATCTTGGACARTATCTGAYGATYGGCTCTTTTAAATGAAACCAGAGAGCGTTGACAGAGAGGAGAAGGTAGAAATGACTCAGCCTGGAACTGAAAATATAGATGGAGGACAACAGAGCTGCTTCATGGAAGAAGAACCTCAGCTGAGCCTGTTAGCTTTAGCAATAGCCCCGACGCTATCACCATATATATGTATTAGCTCAGCGCTAGACATTCTCCTCTCTTCACTGAGGTCCTCCATCCACATGACAGAGAGGGGAACACAAAAATGACTCAGTCTGCAACTGAAAATATGGATGGAGGACCTCAGTTTAGCTTGTTTGTTGTGCAATATACCACGAGAGCTAGCGCAAAAGCTAACAGGCTAAGCTGAGGTTCTTCTTCCATGAAGCAGCTCTGTTGTCCTCCATCCATATTTTCAGTTCCAGGCTGAGTCATTTCTACCTTCTCCTCTCTGTCAACGCTCTCTGGTTTCATTTAAAAGAGTCGATCATCAGATATTGTCCAAGATTAACCTTCAGGGTGGATATAGCTCGCTAGCAGCCTCGCACCGATGACCTAGTTGATGTCATCATTTACCCAGAATGCTTTGCATGTAAATAAAATGGCTCCATCTGTGTTAAAATATATTTTAAAAAATTTTACTAAACTAAACAGCCTACAGTATTTTTACAGTCTTTATTTTACAGTTAAAATAAATGTTTATCAAATAAAGTTTAATGTTACAACTAATCGTGGATCCCTTTAACAACAGAAAAGAAACCGGATGCTTTTTTGAAATATAAAAAATATACTGTAAAGACTTACTGTAAAAGACTGCTGGGCTGATTGTCCAGCAATAGATAGAGTATACTAAGTTACATTCTAACATTCATGTGACCTCTAATTTATTAATAAAGAAATCAGCTCTGTCCCTTTAATAAGAAAAAAAAATACTACTCCATCTCTTGTCCTGCCCCTGTCCCACCTTCCACCCCCTCAGTTTGCTCACCCACCCACTCAGCAGTGCTCCACTCATACTCCAGCTCTACCTTTCTCCACTTACTCCCTCTCTGAGCAGCATCTCTGCTGAAAGGAAGAACTGAAACCACAGCACTGAGTGCGACTCATAATCCATGCCATTTAGGACATATGCAGAAAAACACCCACTTCCTCTGCTGCTCATCTGCACTGGAAAAAGGTAGAAAAGGCTTTATTTTTATTTTATTTTTTAAATTCTTTTAATAAATTGTTTTTTCTGCTTTAAATTGCATGTTATGTTCTGCCACACCATTACAAAAGATAAATATATAACATTTGTGTAAAAACAATTATATTTTGATCAGTTTAGGTAAGCACTTCTGACATCTGAATGAAAAGCAGAACTTTAATAAAAGTGAACTAAAGTGAACTTCCAGAATAAACTAGTGAATGTGGCTCGTTAAATTGATCTAGTTATAAAAGCTTACATTTTTTGGTTTTCAGGCAACTAGGAGGTAATACCTTTGTCTTATTTTGTGTTCACAGCCTGCAGTGCATCAAAATGTCAAGTACAAATAATTATGGGCTTATGGTAATAAATTAATGATCAACTGGTATCATAGTGGTGCAGCTGTGATGGGAGGTATTTGAAGAGGGTGACATTAACACACCAGGGTTGTTCCCCACTTTCTTGTTTTTTTTTTTTTTTTTATCTGGTTTTTACCATCTCCATACATTACTTGTGCAATTTGCTTTTTAGGAAGCTAATGACGTGCTTGCTGCATTCATGTTTTACAGAAGTGTATGGGAATCCCCTGGACTGAAATAGTCTCCTCCTCACTTGGCACATTTCCTCTATGGTTTCTCCTTTAAAAAACACATAGCAGAAATTGGGTTTTGAATTGTGAAATCATCATATTTAGTATTATTATTTTATAAAAAATTTAATAAAAGTTAGCAAATAAGACTTTACGACTGCAGTCTGACAACATTAATCATTTAATATTCTCATTCATCCAAATTAGTTAAAATATTGCTCAAATTGCACAGCAGGGTATACCAGGGATTTGTATGGAAAAAACAGTGTGCACACATAAAAAATTTATATTATTGGTTATGTAACATTTAGTTAGAATGATATATTATTATTACTGTTATGCCATTATTAATATTTCTTGAAACAATAATATAGATTATTGCAAGTTTCTGTTGGTAATTTAGACCTATTTGACGAGCATGATGATTTGCGCGGTGGGGTGGGGGGGGGGGGGTATGACCCCCACAATAATTTGATCCAGTGAATGTAACCCACCCAATAAAATTACATGATTTGCTCGAACAGAATTGAAATCAGCTGGTTAAGTACAGCGCTGCAGCTTTTTTCTCTTATTGTTGAACTGATGTGGAACAGAAAAGGTGCAGAGTAAATACAAAGAAAACAAGAAAGTTAACAATAAAAGCATTACCATTTATTTTAAAACCAAAATATCCTGAATCATTTTACAAAAGTGAATGATAAAATACATTAATAGGAAGAGAGCATAAC